TTTTTTGAATAGATACATGATTTTCGTACTGACGGTGGTCGGAATTGCCGGGTGATATTTTGTTGGAGACATGTGGCGCATCGAGAACTGTGGTGCTGTGTGGTTTTTGGCTTTCGCTAACTTAAGACAAAGTCTAATACGATATGATTTTCGACTGTTGTCCGTCGTAGGACACATGCAGACTACGGAACCGGGTTTTCAGTCTTAGACTTTTCTAGACTTTTCTAGACTTTTCTAGGTTTTTTAGTAGTTTGTTCTAGATTTTTTTCGGATGTGGTCTGACTCAGACGTCTCTTGCGAATGGCGTTAACGGTTGAAGTTGATAGAGCTACATTGTTGACGATGTCTTCGGCAGAAGATAAATAGGATAGTTACATCGTCCTTGATATTGACAAAGGCCCCTAATGATCCTGGTTCGCGGCCAGGTGAAACCGGTAGGGTCCATCGCCAGGCGGAACTTGTTTTTGCCAACCGTGCTTCATGTATCACTTTAAGTTAGTCACATTCGGGTTACTTATTACTTCTATTATCTTGTGTCACGTTTGTCCGCCATCTCTCTCTCCTCTCTCTCTCCCTCTCTCTCCCTCTCTCTCCCTCTCTCTCCTTTTGTTCTACGGTCAGTGTCTTGTTGATTGTTTCGTGTTGTTGTCATATGATCACCTCACTGTTCTTCCAAGAACTGTTGGATAAACATCTTTTTACTTGCGGAGTAACCGACGTAGAAATTGAACCACTGTCGAGTGGTTTCGAGTCAGTGGTCGACCACGTTGGCTTCCTACAATAGTAACACTCATAACGCTCCGTTCGTTAAGAACTGCTATAACTGTGGCCAACCTGGCCACATCTTGAGGTTTTGTCCATTACCGGATAGAGACTGAATGGTCCTCCCTCCTCTAGTTCGGTTATTGTCCCTTTTCAAGCACCTCCACCTGTAGCAGACGTAATGTTCCCGCGGCTACCACACCTTATTCTGGTCAGTATTCGGGAGGAGGCTACCTTCGTCAACGTGTTTCCTCGCTTGAGGAGGTGGTAGGAAAAACTAAGACTAAGCATGATGGAGATGAAGCGAAGGAGCAAGCAGTGAAGGAACAAGAAGAAAGGAAATTGAGGGAGAAAGAAGAGGAGGAAAGAAGAGCTCGGGAAAGGAAGGAGAGAGAGGAGTTCCACTCGACTATTACCAAGGAGTTGTCGACCAAGTTAGATGCTGTTGTGGGTGCTCTTGAGAAGAAGAATGATGTGAGCGAGGTGGAGAAATTGAAATCAGAGATTGAATGTTTGAAGTGTGCACAGTGTGTTGTTGGGCCTTCCTCGACAGTTGATAAACCACCAACCGAGGCAGAAGTGCTGGAGAGAGTCAATCGCAAGCAGGCAGAAATGAAGGCTGAATCTGATCGACGGTTCACTGTCTAGGAAAAAGAGATTGCGAAACTGAATCGGTTGCGAGAGAAAGTTGTGGTAGATGCTGAGGCATGGAAAATTGAAACGCTAAGACCAGGTAACAAACGAGGCAGCTTGGTCATCGGATCTCCTACGACGCAGATGAGAACTCGACCGCGTATGACTCCAACACTTATCAGCGGCACTGGGAAAAAGAAAATTGATGAGAATTTGAAGAGCGTAGTGGAGCAGCATGCGTTGGAAGTTGACACACTGAAGGAGATGAGATTAAGAGAACTCAATGCACGACGAGAGGCGGAACAAAAACTTGAGAAGTTGAGGGAGAAGCACAAGAACGATGACCAGGAAATTAAGAGACTGAGGGAAGAAATGAATAAGTTGGAAATGGAGAAGAAACACAAGACAGTGGGAACTAATTTGAAGTCCAAGTTGGACGAAGCAGCTGGCGGATCGGTAAGGAAGACTGATCGGGGTAAGAAGGTGGAGACCCCGGCTGATGCTATATGCAAGCGAGATGTGATGCTCAAAGATGCTCGACATCAATTAAGGAATATGACAAAGGAGATCTTGGTTATCTGTGAAAAAGAGGGTATGGAGTACACGAAGCTGGATGCAACGAAGGAGGAGGTTGCTAAGCTAAGGGTGGACAAAGTAGTGGAAGGAGATCACGATGAAGAGCAGGGTGATTGTGGTGTGCCTATACATGAGGTTCCAGACGATGGGGAAGAGGAAAGTCTCAAGAGTGACGACGCTGATTCGCTCAACTCTTAGCGTCTTACCCGGAAGCGGCACTTCTGTGGAACATTCTCAAACAGTTTTGTAGGGTAAGATCCAAGAGTATTAATCTATTGAGATGCAAGGTGATTAATGCCTTCTTGAGTGTTGTCGTATGCGTTCTAATTGTTATTCGATAGGTTCCGTGGGGGGATAAGTTGTGTAGCTGGATTGTACATGCGGTGTCAAATGGTTAGGAGTTTGGTAGTGGGGGTGGACCGGTTGTGTATGGATTGTTCTCTCCATGGTGTCGTCACCTATACATCGGTAGTACTACTCATGACCTTTATACACGATGGCAGGAGCATGTCTATAGAGCGTGTTGGCAGACGGTGGTGGAAGGAGGACGAAGAAACGAGAGGTTATATCGATGGCTTAGAAGATACGGTGTTGGTAATTATATCATTGTTCCTCTTGCCGTTTGTTTTATTAATGATTTGAAAGAAGTTGGAAAATATTTCATTCGGTTGTTCATACCAGCGCTGAATGCACGAGGGAAGGGAAAAAGATTGAGGAAAATTCGACCTCGGATAAGAGAGAGAGCCAGGAAAAAGCGGAAGGATGAGGCTGGAAAACGTGGAAATGGGGTACCGTGTTGGAGAAGCAAGGGGTTGTTGACTTTTCATTCGACTATTGGGGTTAGTTCAATCAGCCTGTATAAAGTTTTTAAGTTATGTAGAACTAATTTTATCCATAGGGTAGTCGTTGTTTGTGATGAGGGTGAGCGCTTTGTGGACCAATGGAAGGTGCTTAAACGTTTATATGGGGGAAGTGTGGTTTCTACGGAGTTTGGGAGAACCGAGCTTCGACACGCTTGTGGTTGGTTAAAAAATTGAGTTTGCCTGACGGTGGAATCTGTAATACCTTTTTTAAGCAAGTCGTTTGCTCTTAAGGCGTCGTTAAGTGATTTATTACGTAACCCGTCGTTAAGGAAGAACTTGTATGAATGGGGGTTTGAAAAGCTTATTTATGCCTACACGGTCGTCCACACGTTCAGTGAGAAACGTACACGGTTCCGACTACGCTGCGCCCTCTCTAAGATTGTGTCTATCAGATTTGGTATCAAAGTGAGGAGCCGACTTATTGTGAAGCTTGTTTTTTATGACATGTTGTGTAAGGCAGAAATTCGATAAATGGTTGCACGTATGGTATCTGCATTGGACATTTCGACGACATGGAAAAATATGGTTGTTAGAAGAATGCGTGTGGTTTGGCAGCGAAATCGTTCTGTTGGCGACTTAATTCACAATTTTCGTAGGTTTGCAAGACAAGAAGAGTTTTCGTGTGGTTGTGATTCGTGTGACTTATGTTACCTCGTGTAGACGGATACGTGTCGTTTCGATTGAAGGATTGTTCTTTGTTTCGAGCATGGATGCATAATTTTAAGAACCTTCTGCGACCATCTCGTAGTTGTTCCAGTTCAATGCTTAGGAAACAGATTTGCTCTGCTTTTAAATCTCACCCGTCGTTGCCTAATGTCGAGCCGGCATCTTTAACAAAAAGTGCATTGGATCAGTGTTTCGTTAGAGAAGGACAAAAGAGGGTGAATGCGATTTGCGAGGATGAGCTACTACCCTATTACAATTTGTTGAAACTATTATCCACTGCCGACTCAACTCAACAACAACAACAACAATAACAACAAGTCCACCATAGCTATGGCTTCCCTCCTTCAGCCTCCTCTCTCATGCATAGGCTATGGCGGACTAATGAGGGCCCTGCCCTCCTGCCCAAGAGAACCCAAGCAGCTATGGTGCTGCGCTGATGTCCAAAGGACAACCCAGAGCAGCTATGGTGCTGCGCTGATGTCCAAAGGACAACCCAAAGCATCTATGTCGTTGCTGACTGCTCCGCCATGCCTGACTCTGCCTCGAGCTTCCTTGGTGCAACACTACCCCAACTGGGGCCTTCTAGATGCAGCGCCCAACAAGGTGATGAAGATTGTGTCTACCATAGCGAGGTAAGGGCCTCGCCACTCTCCTCCTTCGCCCCCTTCTTCCTCCTCCTCAAACTGGACTGCTCGCCATAGCCAGGCGGAGCTCCAGCTGCCCTTCACCTCCAAGCAGCGTTGTACTAGTCCAGCGATGCGCTCCAGCAGCATGTCGCCAATCCTTGCATACCGCAAATGAGGAGGAGCTACTTGCTCCTTCGAAAGATATAGCGGCCTACTGGCCTCCTGGGCGGTGACTTCCTAGGCCGAGTGGCCTCCTAGCAACCGGTACCTCCTCCCTTTCGGAGGGAAACATCATTGCAGGCTCTGCTAACCTCCGGACAGGCTCTAGACCCGGGCTACTTGGACTGGTACTGGCCTACCTCTAACCTACCGCTACTGGGCCTCTAAAAATGCCAACTTTTTGTCTTCTTCTGCTCGGCCTTTAGTACCCGACACTTCTACCACTACTGCAGTGGTACAGGCCTACCTGCTACTTGAGTGTTTTTCCCCCTCTTCTCTAAGTGTCGCGGGCCTACCCCCGCTACTCAAGTGTTTTCCCCCGTGCAACCCTTCATAGTCACGGCCACAGGTAAGTACCGGCCCTACGGGGCCTTGCGAGTTGCAACCAACAAGTACCCTTGCGGGTCACACACACACTCAACCGACAAGCACTTAGACAGGCATGCAAACCAGCATGCACGCACACACACACACAGACATGGTAGCAGAATGAGGGAATTCCAGCAAGGCATTCATTCCAGCGGCAAATCCCATAAATCAGCAGTGTTCTCAGTCTGTGTTTTTGGCGGGTCATTATATATATATATATATATATATATATATATATATATATCGTCACAAACAGAACTGCCCGGTAAACCGTAGGCAGAGAGAGAGAAGAGGACAACAAACGAGGGGCTGTGACAAACTGTTTATATATATATATATCCTACCCCTTAAGCGCGGTGGGCCCGCGGGGGAAGGTCGTGTTCCGCTGCGCGGCGGAATCGGGGTGAACTTTTGATTCCGCCCAGTGGATGAAGGCGATCGAGGGCGGTGGCGCGTGCAAAGCGGTGCGCGTACCGGATTGTTCACAGTGAGCCGGCAAATGAGAGAGCGCGCCCACAGAGGCCGGGCAGTGGCGGGCGTCGATGCGAGTGAATAACTCGAAGCGCCCGCCGTCGGATAGCCCGACCACTTTCAAAAAAATGGAAAAAAAGAAAAAAAATGAAGTTTTTTTTTTTTTTTTTTTTTTTCCTGGGACCGGGGTCGGCTTTTTTTTTCGAATAACTCGAAGTGCGAGGAATGGGTCCAAAAAGTTGTGCTTTTTGGTTTTGTTTTTTTTCGATTTTAT